TGGTCTTGAATTTCTGGGCTCAAGTGATGGTTCTGCTTCAGCTTCTCACAGTGTTGAAATTACAGGTGTGAGTCCCCACGCCCAGCCCTGTTTTCTTGTTTTGAGAGGTTCTTCCTCTTTCCACATCATCCCCTCTATTCCTTTCCATCTTGAATATCCCTAATCTCTAGGCCCTCTTCTTTGAACCTCCTCCTAACTCTTGCAGAGTTAATTATGCCCTCCTCTGTGTTATTTCAGAACATTACATGTGTTTATAATGTTGCCTGTGTTGTCCTGTACCTGTCATTTTTTATTCTCACTCTGAGTTCAGCATTTATACTAGATTTATCTTAAAAACTCTTATACTTGCCAGTATATAGAAAGCTCTTAAGAAATATTTGTTGTAATCAATGAATTAGGATTTGTTGATAAGCCTCTTTGATTTTAGTAGATCATTTTCTAATTGTCAGCTTAAATACATTGTTAAGATTTCACCCTATCCCTAAGCCAAATTGCTTCCTATGCTGGAAAAAACAAACAAACAAAAAAACACTACTGTGACTGCCTAAGCCTCCCCCGGCATGGCCACCCTAGGAGACATGCAGCAGGAGTACTGGGGAACTGACCTCTTCCATCTGCCCTCACTTACCTTCCTCAGATACTTGTATGGGGCTGTCACTGACGTTACATGCTGCTGCAGCTCCTTGATTAGCTGGTCCTTGTCATGGGACAGAAACTGTGGGGTCAGGACAATAAATGCCTTCATCACCTGCAGAAAGAGGGCAGAAGCACAAAATGAGTGTCAACATATTACATATCATAAACAGTCAGTATTTATTGAATGAGTGAAAAAACAAGGTGACACTAGATCCTATGGTGGTTTTGGAAAAGAAGAGGACCAGGTACAAATGCCTGTACTTCCAATTTCCACTCCATGCCTTGATAAGTTGCCTAATCTCTCCTTAACCTCAGTTTCCTTCTCTGTGAAATGGGAAAAATAAAGGTTCCGCTCCTCATCTGGGTTCTTTAAAGCTTCCATGAGATAATACATATAAAACATCCAGGTAGTTTACACTATTATCCCTGTCATCAATACTTTCATCATCATTTTTACTATTATGATATATACAATTCTGTGCCTGGGACCCAAAGAGCATTCGATAATTATTGACAATTTATTATTCATACATTAATAGCGTTATCCCCATTTTATTGCACAAGGCCTTTCATATAGAAGTTGCTCAATAAACACTTTTTAATAAACAAAAGCATGTATGTTCTGCAGCCACATTGCTGAAGTGCCATCCTGGCTCCACTCCATAGTAGCTGTGTGACGTGGACAGGTTACTTAACCTTCTCTGCTTCTCTTTCTTCATCTATAAAGAGTAGAAGAGCTCTTAGATTATTATCTTTTGTGAGAGTTCCATTATTTGGCATACAGTTAAGTGTTCACTAAATATAATCTGTCATCTTTATTTTCAGAGCCAGAGAGGCCACAGTGCCCCCAGATCACCATACTGTGGTATCCTTCCCCCAAGGTTGCCCAGGTAAAGCCTGCAATTTTCCCTAGTACCTGCTTTCCTAGTGCCCATACACAAACACAATAATCCCTGCGTTCTCCTCACTTCCCCTCGAATCAGGTCTGTGCTGCTTGCCATGGCCGACCCCGCCACCTGTGGGTGCTCCCCCAAAGCCCTCCCCACCACTGCAGGCCCAGTGCCAGGCCTGGAGGATGAAGGAGCAGATGTCAGGGCTGGAGAGAACCAAGTCCACAAATCTCCTGCTTTCGAGAGTCACAGCTTCCCTTGGCACAGAGGGTAGAGGTCATAGGAAGCTAAAGACCCCTGACATGTCTGTGCCATGGGCCCAAAATGTGAAGACCTGGACATTGTAGGCTGAGAAACAAAAGAGTCCAGTGCTCCCAGGGCTTCTCGCCTCACTGCCTGTACTGACAGAGGAGGGCCAATGCTTAGTCCCCTGGGTGCTTGGCCCAAGAAACTTTGCCAAACATGAAATCTCTTGGAAGGCTCAAACTTGGTCTTAAACATTTGTGCAAATTCTGCACACTATTTCCCATTCTATCAGCAGGATTTTTGGCTTCTGTTATATATATTTAAGGCATAAAACATGATATTTTGATGTACATATACATAGTAACATGATTACTACACTCAAGCACACTGGTATATCCATTATCTCATATAATTACTTCTTTTTTTGTTTTGTGGCAAGAGCATTTAAAATCTACTCTCTGTGCAAATTTCTAATGCATCCTGTTTCAGCAATTAAAAAAAATCACATCCATTTCTCTAAAATATCCAAGAGAAATTGTTACTGTTGTGTAATGTGTCTTTCTAAAAATCATGTAGGGCTTAGGGACAGAGGCTCAGAGCCAGCCTACCTCAGTTCAAATCTGGATTGCACCCTGTGCTATCTCTGAGACTTTAGGCAAATTTTCTCACTGGTCAGCCACCCACTTTCCTCTTCAGTAAAATAGGGATAATAATCGCATCTCCCTTCCAGCATTGAGAGGTGAGTCATATAAAGCACTAAGAACAGTTTTCACATAGTTAAGCACTCCAGGTTAGCTACAGGATTATAATAAATAATATATTTATAATAATCTATCTCAATAGATTCATTGTATTCATAGATTTATAATAGATTCATAGTATTCATAGATTTATAATAGATTCATAATAATAAATCATAAACAATCGCTAACGTTTAGCGATTATTACTATGTTTGTTCTGTGACATCTTGTGTTGCATTAGAGGAGCACAAACATGAAATAAGCTCCCTGGATCTATGGGGACCAAGACAGAGTCTCCCTTCTTAATCTCATTTCCCACACTTCTTTAAACTGCACAGTGTCTTATTATGTTTTCCAGACCCTCTTGAATTTTATTTTGATTCTTCTGTATGCAGGGGTTAGGGAGGTGCACCAAAACCTGGGATAAGGGCACTGTAGACATGGCTCTATTCAAATTGAGCTGAGGGTTCTGTCACCAATACGTGAAAGATTGTCTGGGCAAGGATGATCTCATGAGGCATGTGAGGGTGACAGTCAGCCTGGCAGCAGCCACACCTACCCAGAGTCATTGAGAGTGTCATGACTCCTCCCCAGGAACCAGACATCACCCTCATCACCCACAGTTGCTCTCTCCCTAGTGTAGTAGATGTGCCCACATTCTACTTCAGCTGTCTTCTCTGTGTTACCCTGCAAAGAGAAGAGAGCTCCTTTCTTGAAGGCACTGAATTTAGAGGTGATGAGCCACAACCTGGGTTCCATTCTGGGTTTGATTTCTGCCTCTGGTTCTACCTGGTACCTGGGCATATCTTGCCATCTCTCTGAGTATATTTTCATTACATGAAGGGACAGGATGCATGGTACTGTTCCGAAATGTGATTAAGCCAATTTCAATTACAAATTTAAAAAGTATCAATTTGCTTTTGTGTGACATTATACCAGAATAAAATTTCTACTATAGTGTGAACCTTGCTCCCTGCTATATGCTCAGCATTCACACTGTCAGGACAGATGAGAGGCATCAATAAACATTTAAGGAGTGAATTTTCTTCCCTAAATGCTATCTCATTTGATTCTCATGTAAACCCTATGAGGCTGGTGTTTTTTTTAAGTTAACTTTTAGGTTTAAGATAATTGTGGACTTGTATGCAGTTATAAAAAATAATACAGATTGATGCCCCTATACTTTTTACTAGTTTTCCATAGTGGCAACACCTTGCAAACTATAGTTTAGTATCTCAGCCAGCATTCTGATGTTAATACAATCCACCAGTCGTCAGGTCTCCCATTTCACTTGTACTTATGTATGTATTGATTTTTATGCAGTTTGATCACATATGTAGGGTCGTGCATTCACCACCACATCAGGAAGATCTCTCATGTTGCTCTTTTATATCTACATCCACCTCCTTCTTCCCTTTTCCTCTCCTCTCCCCATCCCTAACCCCTTGCTAACAACTAATCTGTTCTCTATTTTCATAATTTTGTTGTTTCAAGCATGTTATATAAATTCCATAGTGTACAACTGTTTGAGACTGTTGTATTTTTTCAGCGTAATTCTCTAGAGACTCATCCAAGTTGTGTGCATCAATGGTTTGATCCCATTTATTTATTTATGAAACTGAGTCTCCCTCTGTCACCCAGGCTGGAGTGGCGTTGCATGATCTTGGCTCCCTACAACCTCCACCTCTTGGGTTCAAGTAATTCTCTGCCTCGGCCTCCTGAGTAGCTGGAATTACAGGCACCTGCCACCATGCCTGGCTAAATTTTGTATTTTTAGTAGAGACGAGGTTCCACCATTTTGGTCAGGCTGGTCTTAATCTCCTGACCTCGTGATCCACCTGTCTCGGCCTCCCAAAGTGCTGGGATTACAGGCGTGAGCCACTATGCCCGGCCCCTGATCCTTCTTATTGCAGAAGGATATTCCATGTTGTGGGTGTAGCTCAGTTTTTGTTTAACTATTTACCTATTAAAAGGCATCTGGGTTGCCTCCAGATTTTGGCTATTTTGAGTAAAGTTGCTACATACATTTGCATACATGGTTTTGTTGAAGACCATACGTGGCACTTTTTTTAGTTCATTTTAAGTAAAAAAAACAAAAAACAAAACACCTTATGCTCAGAGAGCCGTATCCACTTGGTCAAAGTCACTTACGGTTGGTATTTAAATTTGATTCTTGCTTCACAACCTATTGACTTGACCCCTAAGCAATATCTCTTGTGGAACACGAAATGGTTTTAAGAGCTATCTGAAAAATCATTTTAAAAACACTGAATCACATCCCTGTTTGGATTCACTTCCAATTGTTCTGAGAGTATCAGGTTGATTCTTAGTTTAGGTGCTGACATGCTTTGAACTCTCTGGAAGTCCTATGAAGAAGATAGATCTTCTTTAGAACCAGAGCTTTCAATTGGAATAGGATTTAGGTAGTATATGAGAAATTGTTTTAAAACCTGTAGTTATGATAATTGCCTTCTGTTTATGGCAAGTTAGTGGCATAAATACAGAAAGATAACCACATGGACCAAATGAAGCAGCCAGATAATCAGACCAAAATTATATAAATACATTTTTCAGAAACACACCACCGGCACCCAGGTTGAGAAACCTGGGTATTCACATGCAGAGGACTGAAATAAGACCCTTATGTTGCACAAGGACACAAACATCAACACAAAACCAACTCAACACCTAAGTTTAATCCTGAAACTAAAAAAGCTCTCAGGAAAAAAACATAGGGTGAGTGTCTATTTTGAGAAAACTTGAATCTGTGCACACCAGTTGCAAAAAGAAAAAATTAGGGAGAATATATCCATAAATAATACAATGCCTTCACCATCTCTCTCACTTTATTTCCCAATGGGAAACAGAAATCCCTGCTAACAAAAGGAAATATAAACAGGTTAGACAAAGGACAATTTTAAAATTTATAAACAAGGAGAAAACAATGAACCCAAAGAAAAGGCACCCTACAGATTGGGATAAAATTACAGAAAATCATGTATCCGAAGAGAACTGTTATCTAACATATGCAAGAAACTAAAGGTACTAAGTGGGCATAATGATAAAGCAACTAAAACCTATATTTATCCAAACAACCTGCCACTGGCATAAAAACAGAAAGGCTACCCAATGGACAGAATGAGGGAGTCCCACATGCCACCCAAATGAATGTACACTGAACACATTTTTCAACACAACACAAAAAGACACAATGGGAAAATAATAAATGATTTTCAGCAAACTGGATAACCACATGAAAAACAGTGAAATAGGACAAAAATCGATGTAAATTACACTGAAGGCCTAAACTCAATCTTGAGACCATTTACTTCCCTCAGGAAACAAAGGGTAAGCACATAGTTCAGAAGACTATGCCCACAAGTTGCAAAATGTGAAATATAAAAAGAAAAAGAAAAATTAGAAGAAAAAAAGCCATAGACAACACCATGGATTGGCAATCTTTTTCACTGCTTTTAACTGCACTCGGAAGTCACCACTTACATGGAAACAAGTGGAACTACGGAAACATCGGATCTTATGCTGTGAAAAGAAAACAATGAACAGAAGAGAAGGTGCCTCACAGACTGAAAGAAAACTATGGAAAATCCTGTCTTTGAAAGGGGTCGTTATAAAATATGTGCAGGAAACTAACACTACCATGTCGGGGGAAACAAAAACAGAAACAAAAACAAACACCCAAGCTAAGTCTGGGCAAAGGACCTGAATAGACTTGTCTGCAAAGCAGATGTGAAACTGACTCACAGGTAAAAGAAAAGTCTCTCGAAAGCACTAATTCTCACAAGAACGTCAAGGAAAACCGCACTGAGATACAGCTTCCATCCACATAGAATGAATGTTACCTAAAACAGAAATAAAAGTTTTAAAAGGAAACAACTAGTATAGACTTTCAGAAGGGAAAACTCTTCTCATACACTATTGGTGGGAATGTCAATGTCTACACACGCTAGGAAAAACAGCTGGAAGTGCCTCAAACAAAGTAAAAATGCCATTTCATCTAGCCATCATTCCATTCCTATGTGGAAGAGATACCTCCCTTGCCCTCTGTACTGCAGTACTCATGATAGCCAAGATAGGAAATGCACCTACCTGTTCATCCATTGATGAAGGGATGAGGAAACTGCAATATACATCCAGAGCAGAATATTCTTCAATCATAGAAATGGGTGAAATCTCTTCACTTGCAGCCACATTGAAAAACCTGAGGAACATTATGTTAAATGAAATAAGTCAGGCAGAGAAAGGCATATACTGCATGATCTCATGCATGTCAAATCTAAAACACTTGACCTCACAGAGGTAGAAAGTTCAACAGTGGTT